AAAAATGTTACCAGGAGTTTTAAGAATTTAGTTATAATCAATAAAATTGCTGCAAAGTAAAGTTTTCAAAAATTTGTGTTTGAGGGTGTCGTCGAAAAGACCACATTAAAATGGTAATTTTCATTTGAATTTAAAGTATCTATGCGAAAACTATGACTCTTAAACTTGTGATCAATTAACTTAAATAAGATACGTACTTAATGATATTATTCATGATTTTTGTAAATTGGTATATATAATTTTTTTTATAAAAAATAAATATACAGTTTTTTACTTTATAGCTGCCGTGGCGTAGAGGTAGCGCACTTGCCTCAAATTCGTGTTTCAAATCCCACCTCTAGGCAAGTTTTGCGACATCGGTTGGGAAGGAGGCGTGAACTTCCTATTAAATGCTCTTCCGCGGTGCTCTGTGATAAGACCGTAAAAATAAAATACTAAATAGCATAATGTCAGTCTCTCTGGTTAAGGCTATAAACTTAATTAATGAAACACTTTTGAATTTTTAAAAACTATGAATAACTGTGTTTTTATAAAAATCTGTTAAAAAGGTACCCAATTATGATTTTAATAACCCAACAGTTATTTTAATGTGAATTTACAATGAATATATATAAGCATTTTGAGCGGTTTATTAGAGTTTTGCTCCTAGGTTACTTAAGGGATTTGCTAAAAGTGGCTAGCCAATAGCTATTCAATATGTAATATAAAAGCTAGGTGTTGACTATCTAATATGGCGGCTGCCACTTTTGGTCCACTATGTACATAATGAGCTTTTTTACGGTGGAAAAACAGTGAGAAACTCTCAAAATGCCGATAAAAGTCTACTAAAATTCCGCTGTAAAATGTTTGCTGAGAAGATTTGCTGGGAAGGCTTGGTAAAATGTTTGCTGGGAAGGTTTGTTGGGAAGGTTTGACGGAATAAGATTTTGCTGAGCGTATTTTTTTTACAAAGTAAAAATTAACTTTAAAATACTTAAAAAATGTATTATTATAAGTGTATTCAAAATGAGCACGTTTGCTAAATATAAATATTATATTAAAAACTTTATTTATTTATTTAAAATTTATTTTCATAAAGGTTCAATAAAGAGTTTTATATTTTGTAATATAAAACTTTCCCTGTTTTGTTTGATTGTCCGTTTCTTTACCCTGAAAGTTCTATAACACGCCACTAAGACTTTTAATAATTTTCGTTTGATTTTACAATTATTATTTGTATCAATTTTATTTTTTGGATAAAAAAGAGTAAATAAGTTTTATATTAAAATAATTACTTAAAAATCATTGCAAAATAGACCTTGAAAATCCATTTATAAACGAAAACCAGAAAGTTCGGTAATGCAAACTGTGTAGTTTCGGTAATTCTACACCTCACAGTTAAAACCAAATTTCCAAAAAATCTTTTTTGTTTCAAAAGCAAAGTTTATATTTTTAAGACATTCGATTTAGTAAATATTACATCCAGCAAAAAAAATTCCTTAAAAACGTATAAAAAATTTTTTATTTAACGTTTTTTTTTGGAAACCCAAGTACGAGATTCGTTAACTAATATATTATATAAAGTTTACTTGAACTCAGAAACTTAAAAACGCCACGGTGATATTAAAAATATCAAAATTTAGAAATGTGGATTTATTTATAGCTTGATTTGAAGAAAATGATTTAAAAAAACATACCCGAATGTCATTTTTATGATCCCCATGCATAAACCCTCCCCTTCGATGATTCGGTAATGCAACGCATATTTTAAAACGGCTCTTATATTTACAGTTTTTTCTCGATATTTTTTTTCAAAAATGACATATCTAAAATTTATAGATCTTTCTTATTAGTAATACTGAAAAAAAAAAATGTATATATATATATATATATATATATATATATATATATATATATATATATATATATATATATATATATATATGTATATATATATATATATATATATATATATATATATATATATATATATATATATATATATATATATATATATTAATATCATTTATATATATATATATTTTTATTAAATAAATTTGAAATATTCAAATTTATTTTTACATTAGAAATGGTTTTGTGCGCCCTATGTAGCTGTGATGCATCTATTTCTGGTGCTTCTTGTGTACTGTGCAAAAAAGTGATTGATAGTAAATGTCATGGAGGCACTATAGGAGATGAAAATATTATCTGTAAAACATGCGCAAGTATTAAAGTTATAAATATAGCTTTCATAATTGTATTATTATAAATAAAGTATAACAACTATGATATTTGTACTATTAATTACAAAAAAAGAATTTTTTTTATAATTGTAAATAAAACTATTTTCTTTTAAAGATGTTTAAAGATTTTCCTATCAATCCTAATGAAATTGATGATATGGTTGGTAAATATAACAGACTATTAGCTAAATTTAATTTTTGTAAGTCTAATTTTAATAGTTAAAAATGAAACTTTATTTCAACTGTCAGTTACTTTAGTCTTTAGAAAGTTTAGTTCTGAAAGTTTAAAAGAAAATGCTTCATCGCAACTATTAAAATCAATTTTTTCTGGTCAAGTTAGTATCATTAATATCTTTATATAAATATTATTAATGAAAGTAGGTGGGGAAGGGTTAGACAATAAAGCCTATAAAATTACCACCTTATTCACGTATAACTCATCTATATGATATTTAGTTAGATTAATAATTAAAATTAGTAAAAAAAAAAATCATTTGTATGTAAAAAAACAAACATATTTTGTATAAGGAATAGTGCAATCTTCAAATAAAATTTGTATCATTTGTATTTAAACATTTTTTTCAGTTATACAGCTGCAGACATAATATTTATAAAGCTGGAGGTAGCGAAAAAAGTAAGTTAAATTTTTTTAGAAAATTTTTTTAAATTTTTTTGGCCTGTTAAAAAGAAAGCATAAATCTAAATTTTATTTTTTTAAATATTTTTTTAAAATATTGCTGACATTTACTTTATTATTTATTTTTATTTTTTGTAGTTTTATTATTAACTATTATTCATATAATTTCATAAAAAATTATATGACTATTTTAAGGTCACCTTCGTGATATGGATTTAAGATCACTTTTAACGGAAGATCAAAGCAATGTACTTTTTACGAGTTTGGTAACTTCGTTCAGAGAGCTTAAGTTAAGAGAATGAACAACTTTTCTAGAAATAATTTTTTTTTGATTTAATTGTGATTTAGTTGTGAACATAAATAGTTTTAATGATCAAAATACAAAATTAATAACTGATGATAATGCATTTTATCAGTTACATACCATAGCCTTTTGTTAGTTTTTTGATTTTTTCTCAACTATTATTTATTTTTTTCATATGTTTCAGAATCATTGTTTTAAAATTTATAACTGTATGAGGTTTTTTTTTTTTTTTTTTTTTAAAAAAAAAATTATTATTTTAAAAATTTATTTATAAAAAAATTCTTTTTCTTTTCAGAATGCAGATTATGTCTTTAGGGTGCGTGTCCCTGAGGCCATCATATATCTTTTTGCAAAGTTTATGCAAGTTTCTAGAATTCAAGTACTGAAAAAAAATTATATATTTAATTTTGATAAATTATGTATTTTTTTTATTTTTGTTTGTGTATTATTTTTTATTTTCAGGCAGAAGTGACATTAAATGCATATATTTCAAAGCGGTGTGTATAATTAAAAAAAAAAAAACAATATGTTTCTATTTGTAGTTAGTAGTGTATAAATAATATAATACTAGCAGTGAGCAACCCGTAATACGCTTTGTAAGTAAATAAAATTAAAAAAAAAACCGCGTATAGAAAAGCCTAGAAACTACTTTAAAATAGAAAAGCCTAGATAATGACGTAACTCAACTAATATTAAATTAGCGTATTCATATTATCAGATAGTAGTGCATATTAAAATACCTATATAGTTTTAAGATTTTTAAGAAACAGTCAAAATGTTTTAATGTTTTTAGAAATACAGAGGTTTTGCAAGATGAATCATATGATTCAGAATGCTCATTGGTTAATGTAAAGGATTTCACAGGTTTTTTTTATTATTTTAATTTTTTCTAAATTTTTGTTTTGTTTTGTTTCTGTCAGGCGTTCAAAAATTAGTTAGAGGAGTCTTTGTTGGATAATAATATATTAGAAGTATTATATTTTTATTAATGTAGAATTTAAATCTAAGTTTTGAAAGTTTTAACCCTAAATTTTTAGAAACTTGCATTGTTCTGTCTGAGAATGAGGTACTTAATGATTAAAAACTACCCAGTTAGCACACATACGTTGGGCCAACGTCGGGCCAACGTCGAAAGCGTTGGACAATTCTAATAACTAAGTGCTGACGTCGGGCCAACGTCGAAATTCGACTCATTATTTTGATTTTTAAATGCGTACAGTGTGTTACAGGTTTTAGCGTTAAAATATTTTTCGGCCATTTTTTAGAGCTTTTTTAGGCAACTTTTTATTAGAATGTTTAATAAGTTGGAATTCTAAAATTCATATTATTATATGAATTTTAGAATTCCAACTAATAAAACGATATTAAATTTTAATAAAATATTAAATTTCATTAAAATTTAATATCGAAACAAGTTTGAACAAAATTTGAACATGAACATTAGAAATAGATGCGCCTTATTTAAAGTAATAGTTAAAAATAATAGATGGATTTTGCTATTGTGCATTTTCAAACCGAAAATTCTGTTGCTGTTGTGCCATCAATTTGGGTTGCAGGAGAATCCTACTTATGTTACTGGCCACCTTATCGTGCATCTAGATTAGAAACAGCAGTCAAAGAAAGAGAAAAATCAACAGTTGACTGGGAGTGCATTGATAATGTGCGCGTGTTGCATTTTTATGGTAGTTAGACTTTTTAAATATTTCATATGTTTTGGAAAATAAAACATTTTTGCTGTTTGAAGTTATTCTAACTTATATATATATCATGATTTTTGTTTTATTTTATAAATTTCTGAAGATAATTACCACAAAGCAAGGCTTAATTTAGCTAAAGCAGAGAAAAAAAATTGTGTCTGACATTAGTAAGGATAACGATAATTTGAGTGACACAAATAATTCATTTTTATCAGCTGCAACACCTTTCCGAAGTTCTGGTACTAATAAAGTACCACACGGTAAGATTTATCTAACTTTTTCATAAAAATTACAGTTTATGTATGTCTTACATAACAACAAAATCCAGCTTGTTCTTTACCAATTCTTTTAGAATGAGTTATTATATATATATATATATATATATATATATATATATATATATATATATATATATATATATATATATAATATATATATATTTATTTTGTTCAAGTATATTCAAAACTAATATTTGATAAGTAAAATATACAAATATTCATATTACTAGAATCTTTTTTAAACGATGTTGGTGCAATTCCCTCACCTGCTTTCCCCATCCAGTTACAGGCAAACAAAGGTAACCTTTTATTAAAATATTTAGAAGAATTATTTCAAAAGGTTTGAAACAGTTATTTATAAGCTTATATGAAAATACAGTTATATAAAATCTCTTATCTTTGATCAGCGACTCTTATTAATATTTTATATATTATAATAATTATAAATGTTTTTTGTTTTGTTTTAGATATAAATTGGAAAATAAAATCTACTAGTACCATGGCTACTTCGAGTGATTTTTTTAAAAAAACATTAAATGTCCCGGCTTTAGTAGAAAAAGGTAAACTTTAAATATCTTCTGGAAAATATTTATTATTACTTTTTAATAAAAGATTTTCATTTCATAAATTACTTAGTAAGTTTAGATTTTTGTAAAAAATCAAAATTATTTGTTAACGCAGCAGCCTGCAGCAACAAAACACCTGGGTATAAAACTATATCAGCAGAAGCAAGTATGTGTTTTTGTTTTAATTTTTTATTTTATGGTTGATTGTGCAAATTTTCAAATAAAGTTTGATAAAATTATTGAAGACACTATTTATTGTATTCAGATTTTAGCTTAATGTCTTTTTTCTAACAATAGCTGTTCCAAATTCAGCATTAAAATTAGTTTTGGATAAACTTGCAACAATGCAGCAAGAAACTTTGCATATTTCGCAAGTGCAGCAAAATATGTTTAATGCTTTTCAAAAAATGGTTGCTGTAAAGAAGCGTGAACTTCCAGAGTGCGTAGAGTTACCAGTTAAAACTTTACTAGAGCTCAAAAGTTTAGAAAAAAATCTAGATAAGAAGGATTTAGCTCAAGCTGTTGTAAGGTTTCATTCACAAAAATTGATCTGAAATATACATTTCTTATAAACTTTATGCACTTTTTTTATTCACATTTTTAGAGTAAACACTTGGGAATGAGAGGAGGGAAAGATGTCAGTGATACCACAAGACGCATTTTAGAAAAATTTTTAGTAATGATCTGGCTAAGAAACTTAATTGGGCAGGGCGATGTAATAAAACTGGAGTGAAAGATTTAAAAATCGTATCTTGTATAAAAGGTAAATAAGTGTATAGTGTATACTTTGTATGATCTTTGATAAACCTGTATACATGTTATTTAACTTGTTTTGAACAGCTGCTGTGCAAATTAATAAGTCTTTTGACGCAAATGAAGTCAGTATTGAAAATGTTGTTAAATCATGGTTAAAGTATGCCGGGGATCGCGAAGGTGGAAGGGATGCTCCCAATAGAGTTAAAAGGAAGGAATTGTCTATTTATCAAGATAATGTCATGGATAATGATGATGAAGGTGGTGATGATAACTATTTGTATAACTACTAGCCTAATATAATTTAAATACTTGTTTGTTGAATGTATGATTTTCTTACAAAGAAAGACTTTTTTGACTGAAGTTAATTTTTGGAGTTTATTATATCGAAAATGAAATAGTTTATATTATATTAATAATTCATGGTTAATAAAATAATTTTGTTAATCATGAGCTTAATTATTAATTATCTAATTATTGTTTATTTATTTTATTAAATAAATGGTTCTAGTTTTAAATCATTGATTATTATCTTATAATGAATGATTTAAAACCATATTTATACAGATTTGAATTTTAAGTCGTCCTTTAAGAACTTTTTTACTTTTCTGGTGAAAGTCATTTAAAATGTGATGATAGGATTATGATATTTTATTTTATATATATATATATATATATATACATATATATATATATATATATATATATATATATATATATATATATATATATATATATATATATATATATATATATATATATATACTTTGGTTAGCGCTATGATGCTATACTGATTTAGAGACATACATACATTGACTGATTTAAGGTGCACTTGCTTGTGAGTTGATAACACAAATCCAATATCTTTTAAGTTGTTGTTCATTGCAAAAAAGTTTTAAAGATTTTATTTTAAAACATATAAAGATTGAATCACGAGAAGAAGTGGTTATAGTCGGACAGATAAAGATTAAAGCACGAGAAGAAGTGGTAGTAGGTGGCTCGAAAAAGATTGAATTACGAGAAGAAGTGGTAGTAGGTGAATCAAAAGAGATTGAAACGCGTGGAGGAGTGCTTTTAAAAATTCCATTAGTTATTTGTTGCATAGCAAAAGGTATAAGTAAAAACAGATGCAAAATACTTTGATTTAATTTTGACGTTTTCAAATCTTATTATCTTATCATAAATCAATATGCAATATAATAACTAAATTCCATGTTTTGCAAGGCGTTTTACTCCCTGATATAGATTGTCTCGAAGTTCAATTTAATACAGATGGATTACCTTTTTTTAAAAGTAGTAGAACAAGTTTATGGCCCATACTTGGTATGCTTAAAAAAAATGTTATTAAAACAGTATTTGCTATCGGGGTTTTCTGTGGCCAAGAAAAACCATCAAGTGCTGTAGAGTTTTTTGAGGATTTTGTCAAGGAAACTTTGTCACTTCTTCATAACGGATTATTAATTAATGGAAAACATTTTACATTAAACATTCATTCGTTTGTTTGTGATACTCCTGCAAGGGCTTTTGTCAAAGGTATCAAGTACCATTCAGGTTACAATTCTTGTGAAAAATGTGTTCAGGTGGGTGATTATGTTGGTAAAGTGATCTTCCCTCAACTAAATGCTTGCTTGAGAACTGACATTTCATTTAATGAAATGTCTGATGAAGACCATCATAAAAGTCCTTATGCTTAAAAGTCACTAAATATTGGTGGTGTAACACAGTTTGGACTTGACTTTATCCATTTAGGTTGTCTTGGAGTTATGAGAAGATTCTTATTATATTGGAAAGGACCAATTGGTCCTTTAAATGTTCGAATTAGTTCACGAAATGTTTCTAAATTGTCTGACAAGTTGTTGAGTTACGTTGCATATATTCCATATGAGTTTGCAAGAAAACCAAGAGCTTTAAGTGAGATAATGCGATGGAAAGCAACAGAATTTAGATTGTTTTTGTTGTATTTAGGTCCATTTGCACTAGATGGAGTTCTACCAACAAATTTGCTTGATCATTTTTTGTTGTAGTATGTTGCATGTAGGATTCTTACTAGTTCTGAGCTCTCAAAGAACTACACAGATTTTGCAAATAATTTGTCAATAAGGCTGCTAATCTTTATGGACAAGAGTGTCTAGTATATAATGTGCATTCATTAGTTCATATACCACAAGATGTAAAATATTTAGGACCATTAGATGAGTTTAGTAGTTTTCCATATGAAAATATGCTTGGTCAAATAAAAAAACTAATTCGAAAACCTCAAACCCCCATCCAACAATTACTGCGTTGACTTGAAGAAAAACAAAATTTTCACAATGAACGGGAAGATATAAAAAAGACATTTCCTATCTTAACAAACAAACATTTTGAAGGAATTCTTATAAATACCGAAGAATTTAATGTAAGACAATATTTACAGCTTCAACCAGAGCGTTGGTATTTTAAAACATCTGAATGTAACAACTGTTTTATTGCAAAAGATGGAAGTGTCAATCTTATTCGGAATATTACTAAAAAAGGAAGTGATATAAATTTAATATGTCAAAGCTTTAACACTGTTTCTGATGCTTTCTCTTTTCCATTGCCTTCTTCAAGACTAAGTATTTGTAAAGTACTTAGAAACAAATTTGCTTCGTTGAAAAGTTGCCAGGTAACCGATATTGTTAGTAAATGCATGTGTTTACCTTACTCAGAAGATTTCTTCATTATTATTTCTATACTGTATTGATTTAATGTATGTTATATTTTTCTAGGTTATTTCATACTCAAATTGATATTTTTTTCAGTGATATTCAGATAATAATTGGTTTTGTAATTTTTACTTTTTAAGTAAGTATATATATATATTTTTTTTTATTAACTTAAAAATATATATATATATATATATATATATATATATATATATATATATATATATATATATATATATATACATATATATAAGATAAAAAGGCTGCAAAGCCTTTAGGTCAATTTTTAAGTAATTAATACATTCCCTCTTAAGGTATAAGACCCCTCAAAATTCCTAAAAAATTCAAAAAAAATAATTTGTGTATTTCTTACACGAAATTTATCGCTGAATCCGAATTTGAAAACATTTTTTAAAAATAAGGCTTAGTTCTTGAGATATAAAAGGTTTCCTTCAACTGGGTAAATTTGATCTGCTTAGCAACACGCATAGCAACGGGTTTTTTATAAGAATTGCCAGCTATTTAGTTATTTTTGTGTTATTTAATAAACTTTTTCAATAATGGGTAAATTATGCAGAGTTAAACAAAGTACTCAAAGTAAAAAATCCAGAAGATTTCATGGAAATAGGTATACCAAAAATTTGACAAACAATTCAACTTTATCAGTAGCTCCTGTTAATAACAATGTTACCTGTTCTGAAAATGACCTTATTTTCAATAATAGTTCATTAGATTTATCTATATCCTCGAAAAAAGTTGAAAAAATTGAAACACCACATCAAAGTAATAATAAAACTGTTGGTTATCGTATTATTGACATTGAAACTTTATCTGGTGTAATAAGTCAATTATGTTGCAAAAATTGTTTACAATCTGGATTATTTCTTGAAGAATGTTTTTCCTAAAAAAAAAGGTTTTAGCTCGATGTTGAATATATGCTGCCCTAATTGCAACAAAAAAATTGAATTTTATACTTCAAAGACATGCTCTGGGAAGAAAAATTTTGATGTAAATAATAGAATAATTTATTCTATGCGTGCATGTGGTCAAGGTTATTCAGGACTAGAAAAATTTACTTCTTTAATGAACATTCCTACACCAATGACTAAGAACAATTACAACTAAATAATTAAACATGTCTCTGATTGTGCTAAAGTTGTTGCAAAAGAAACAATGTCTGACGCTGTTAAAGATATTTGTCAATCTTCTTCAAATATTGTTGATACTGCAGTATCAGTTGATGGTAGCTGGCAACGTCGTGAATTTTCCTCATTAAATGGAGTGGTTACTGCTATATTAATGGACACAGGTAAAATTCTTGATTGTGAACCAATGAGTCGATCATGTAAAGCATGTAGTTTAAAACTAAAACTTAAAGAAAATAATCCAAATGCCTTTGAAGCTAGGAAATCATCACATGTATGTAAACTAAATTATCGTGGCTCTGCTCCTGGAATGGAAGTAACTGGTGCTCAAAGAATATTTAGCCGTTCTATTTCACAAAACAAACTGAGGTATGTAAAGTATTATGGTGACGGTGATTGTAAAAGCTATTCGTATGTTAAAGATACTTATCCTGGTATAACAGTGTGTAAGTTGGAGTGTGTTGGACATGTACAGAAACGTGTTGGTAGCAGATTGCGAATTTTGAAAAAAAATGTAAAAGGACTTGAAGGCAAAGGCAAATTAACAAATGCTGTAATTGATCGCCTACAAAACTACTATGGAATCGCTGTTAGGCAAAATGCCAATGATTTAGAAGGTATGAAAAAGGCCATACTTGCAACATTGTTTCATGTTGCATCATCAGCTGAAAATAATTGGCATGCTCATTGCCCAGATGGCATCAATAGTTGGTGTCGTTATAAACAGGATAAAGCTAATTTAACGTCTACCTACAAGCCAGGTGCTGGTCTTCCACTCTCAGTTGTCAGTCATCTAAAGCCTATATATATAGATTTATCTCAAGAAGAACTCTTAAAAAAATGCCTTCATGGTAAAACCCAAAACCAGAATGAAAGTTTTAATGGAATGATATGGCAGCGCATACCTAAAACAAAGTATGTTTCATTAGCGCAGTTGGAGTTAGGAGTTTAATATGCTGTTTCAAATTTTAATATTGGAAGAAAAGCAAGCATACTTTTGTTTGAAAAGTTGAATATGATTCCTGGTATTTATACTCTCCAAGGCTGTTCAATCATGAACAAAAAGCGCTTAACTTTTGCAGAATATCAAAATCGGATTACATCTAAAAAGTGACGAAAAGTTATTCGTGGATGCAAAAAAAAAAAAAAGGGTGATGCAGAGAATGATCAAGAAGGATGTCTTTATGACCCTGTTTCATGTTCATATAAACAAAAGTTTTTCAATTGAGTATACGAGAGAAAATATTATGAAAAATTATGAATATAATATTCAAACGAGTTTTTCTCAAAATGTAAATTTTTGACCTCCCGGCCATTCTATCTCATTAACCGTAAGTTAAATTTGTATGAAATTTTATTGCATCTGGTTGTACAATTGGAACTAAAAGTTTTTCTAATGCAATCAAGAGTTTTTGATTTATAGAAGTTTCAAATTTAAAAAAACCATATTTTTAGTACGCCATTTTGAAAATTTCATTATAGGTCAAGTACTAAGGTTTTTTAAATAATTTTAGTTCAGTTTGTAGATCAATATGTTATTAACCATATGCCAAAAATTCATAACCTACATGCTTTCAGTTACTGAGATAGCTTGGCCGGGGTAACTTAAATATTTTTAAATGTCGGCCATTTTGCTTGGTAGCCATGACAATTAATAAATTTATTTTTTATTTTTTTAAATTCTTTTATCTAGTTGTTTCTCAAGATAAAATTGTTTTTTTGTTAAAAAACTTTTTTTAATAACTTTTTTTGAGGGGTCTTATACCTTAACTCTTGCTTTTCTTTCTTTTTTCGACAGCTGTTAGAAAATGAAAACCCAGAATCAAATGGGAGTGTAATAATAATTACACGCTTTTTGTGGCGTTTTTTTATAAAAGTTTATTTCTTTTAATTTTTACTTAAAAATTAATTTTACATATTGTTTTAGACAATACTTACAACACATCATATAAAAACGAGCATTTGAATGCTCGATTTTCTCTGAAGAGAAGTAAAGAATATTTGTAAGGAAAATGGTTACAAAGACGAAAAGAACGTTATTATGTTAAAATATATTGTGTGAACTTAATTATAAATATCATGACAAATTTTGATTTTTCTTTATGTAAAAAGTAAAAGATGCTTTTTTGATCAGCATTAATGTTTGATCTTTATTTATCAAAGTTTATGCAAACTTATATAGAGAGAAAAAAATTATTATTGCAACAGTTTTAAGAAATGTCACAAACGCACTTGTTACTTTTTTGAAACAAAACTTTAATATTAGGTCTGGCAAACGGTAATATATATATATATATATATATATATATATATATATATAATGTATATATATATATATTTATATACATATAAATATAAATATATATATATATATATATATATATATATATATATATATATATATATATATATATATATATATATATATATATATATATAGAGAGAGAGAGAGAGAGAGATATTATAGTATGTCTCTGTTGTGTGTTTTTATTTTTCATTATTTATTTACGTGTATAATTATTTACTGAATTAAGATTTTATTTAAATTATTCTTTTATTCAGTTGTGTCTAGTGAAGCATTTGTTATGTAATTCATTTGACAGCTGTTAAAGAGGGAGAAGGTAACAATTAATTGGGAGTGTATTCATTATATGCATTAGCTGCATTTTAGCGGTATGGAATTCTTATAATATTTGTATAGGATAATTTTGAAGCTGGTAGTCTCTAAATTTTGCAGTGGAATACTGATACTATTATTCATTAATTTTCTGTTATATACATAAGTTTTCAGTTTCGTTCATTTTCTGTTTAGATGTGAGCCAAAAATGCAATATCAAGAAATGCACCTATTATTATACTTTAAAAAACATTTTGTTGCTTTAATTTGTTGTTTAGGGGCTGTCCATAAACAACGTCACGCATCTAGGGGAGGGAGGGGGTCCAGTATTTTGTGACGATATGTGACAAGGGGGGAAGGGGAGGTTGGAAAAAAGTGACGTCATGATACACAATTGTATATATATTAACAATTTTTTATAAGTTTAGAATTTGGAGGGCATTTTTTTATTTTTTGTTAAAAAAGAGGGGGAGGAGGTTAGCAACTTGTGACGTAATATTCTATAGGGGTCTAAATTTGTGTGACATGTTGTGACGAAGGGGAGGTAGGGGGTCAAAAAATTCAAAAAATTGCGTGACGTCATTTATGGACGGCCCCTTATGCAGGTAATAAATTAAAAAATTATTATTGTTTTTATTCATGTGCACTTTATTTGTATAAAGTGCATATATTTTAGTTATGTTTGTTATTGTTAATATATTAACTATTTTGTTATTTATATATAGATTTTTATTCTGATATTTTGATTTATTAAATATATTTTTAGTTTGAATATATCTATGTATATATATATATATATATATATATATATATATATATATATATATATATATATATATATGTATATATATATATACATATAAAAGAATATCCTTTAAATTTAAATTCTAAATATCCTTTAAAAGGATCTTCAGAATTCCTGAAGATCCTTTTGAAGGAGTTTTTCTAACTTATTATACACAAATAAATATATAACACAATACTTATTATTTTAACAGTAGTTATGACAATGCCTAAAGCTCATCAAACAAAAGATGCAAGTTCAAAGATTCAAAGATTTCTATTAAATTGTATAATAAGAAGCATTCGAACGTTATAGTTGCTTTCAACGAAGTAATGATGCAAGAATTGTAAGGATGCTTAGCAGTTGAAAAGAACATTATTATGCTTGAATATGTGTATAGTTTGTACGAATATTTCAACATAACTATAATGATAATTACAACAAGTTTTGATTTTCTATGTAATTAAAATTAGTTCATTAATCAGCGTCAGTGTATTATTTGCGTTTATCAGCCTCAAGTTTTATTCAAACTGATTTGGATATTTTAATGAATATTACTAAGAAATAGATGCACCTTATATGAAGAAATAGTTGCACTTTATTTAAAGAAGTTTGCGTTTTATTCAAAGGAATAGTTGCTTTTTATTTGAAGAAATAGTTGCACTTTAGTTGAAGAAATAGTTTTAATTTTTTTGCAGAAACTTTGTTTTTGGTTCAAAAGGTGCGCTCACCTTATGAATCAAAAACAAAGTTTTTGCAAACAAATTTAAACTTTCATTATTAAAATATTACGTTGGGCCAACGTCAGAATTCGACGCTCGCCCAACGTCGTAATCCGACGTTGGGCCAACGTTGGCCCAACGGTCGGTTTCGATGTCGCGCCGACTACCAAAATGACGTCGGGTCGACGTCGGTTATCGACCATCGGCCAACCAATATTTCGACGTCGGCCCGACGTTGGCCCAACGTAAGCGTGCTAGCTGCCCAATAAGAAAAATGGCGTCGTAACAACGTTGTTCTAACGTCTTTCGTATCGTTGGAAACACGTTGGCATGATGTTATAAATGAAACACCGAAAAAACGTCATTTTACTAACGTTATTACAACGATGTAAAATGACGTGGTGACAACGTTACATTTTAGCTAAATGACGTCGGAAAGACGTAAAAGCAACGTTAAATTTGAAGAAAAAAGACGTTATAATGACGTTAGGCTAACGTTATATTTTAACTAAAATGACGTTGAGCCAACGTCTTTACTCTATCGTTTTTTACACGTTGGAATAATGGCATGTATGAAACATAGTTCAACGTTATATTAACAATGTTGCGAAATGTTGTAAGAAAAACGCCCTCCAACCTTTTTCTATCATTTTTGATGTTATTTCTACACTGCAAAAAACAATAAAGGACAAATTTACACTGTATAACTTTGCGCTGTCAAGCTATATTTCTTCTTATTTATTTAGGTTATACACGATTATTATATTAGTCCGGGCAAATAATTAAATACGGAAATTAAAAGACTAAAAATAAATAAATATTGCATCACTTCTATTCCAAAATTTTAAAATTATATACAATAACTTAGAATGAAACTAGTTTGATTTTTACTTTCTTTGCAAATTTCAATCATATCTCAAATAATTCGCGTATTCTTTGTTTGACACTAAAAGACAAATATATATGAAGAAACATAAAGTTACAAACAAATCCAATTAAAAGCATTTTTTCCAATGAAAAGAACTAAATAAAAAACATTTGGAATAAACAAATAGACAAACCACAAATACCAGAAATTGCGCTAACTTTCTAATTGATGCTAACCTGAGTTTTTCTGCTTTTGAAAGATTATCCACTGTAAATCGTTTAGCAACATTATCTGAAATAGAATAATCAATACCTCAGTAAAATGCAAAACTAATGAAATTACCTCTAAAATAATTTTAATTGAATAAATAAACAAAATTGATTTAAAACACACAATCATAAAATTATGGAAAAAAATATGTCTAGTTTTAACCTCAAAAGATATAAAATATCTTTGAGCTCAGATTTCTGGAAAGTTATTTTTTTACAAGTGTTATTTTGGCAATATATTTTTTTATAACATGAATTGCATGGTAAATAAACTGAAATGGTACATTTTCACTAAGCAAAGAATCAAAAATAGTTTTTATAAATAGCTCTTCTTAAGACTAATGATTACTTTGTTAGGTGTTTTTTCTTCCAATCCAACCTACTTATATTTCACTTAAACCCTTACCATTTGAGCAAGTGGCAACTTCTTACCAAAAGCCAATAAATTTTTAAATAAAAAGGCAGATATATCAAGAAGCAATCATTCAGAAAACTATAAAAAATGTTAACTTGCGGTCCTTTATTGAAAAAAAATTATGTCGCTTTTTTTGCTTAAAAATATAATTTGCCATTTGTAAAAAATGTTAAAGCTAAAACAAATGTGTGGAATAAAAGTTCAAAATGCGAGTCAAAATAAAGCAATAAATTAAAGATAATTTAAAAACATGTTATAATAAATATAAAGTACTAGGTTTATTTAAGGTTTATTTCTATTTTAAATTTCAATCCCTTTTTAATCGAAAAAAAATTTAGAAATCATAAATTATTACTTTACAAGAACTCTAATTTCCTCTTAACACTTTTACATATATAGATTACATATACAGATTTAAAATATATTACATATATAAAAATATATTTACTTCATATATAAAAAAATAGTTAAACAGTATTTGTTTACAAATTTCATCCGTCATTTGTAAAAAGGACAAAAGCGGCTTCACTTTTTGAATTGAACTAAGACAACTAGTTTATATAAAATATCATTGGTTAATACACATGTGATCATTATGAAGCATACTTTTAACATCAATGGCTAGATGTGAAAACCAAGACAAATATAATTACAATAATTTTTCAGTATTCACATGATTGCTGCATTTAGACAAGCAAATTATATAATGAAAAATGTGCAACTAAATGTTTAACTGGCCATTGAACAAGGTCAAAAATTAAAAATCAGGACAAATATCAAAGGGTTTACTAAATGAGCACTTTTTATAGAGAGTTTAGTAAAATATAATATTAGTAAAATATAATATAGAATCACTTTCAAAAATAAAAAAACTATTGAAATAGACTTAAAGAAAAAATCACTGATTAAACTTCAATAATTACCATATTTTGACAATTTTCATAATTCAAATTAGCATTTTTTAACTTTTAAGAAATGAACTTTTATAATAAAAATACTTCAAAATGTTCTATTGATATCATTTTTATAGCCATTTGTATTAGTTTGCTAATGTGTTATATAAATATTCACATGCAATATGTATACTCATTTAAAGTAATATTAAAATAATAATTAACAAAATCTTTGCATTTACTAATAATGCCTTCAATGTTCTGAATATACATAAAACAAATAAAAATATAAATGAAGAAATACAAAAGTTAACTCTGAATTAAGTCCTTAACATATATTGGGAACTTTCCGCCAACACGTGAGAGTTGGCCTAAAAAAGAAAAAAATATAAAAAAGGCACATTGAAGTGTTTTACACATTAGATCTTATTTAAATACTTTTTACTGCATTCACCAAGGTCAAGCCTAAAAGACCCAAGCTTATTTGATAAACAGTTAGAACTAAATAAGTATTTTACCATGATTCAATCAGAGCAATCATAGCAAACTCATAAATATAAAACATTTTTATTCAGTAAATTTTTTAACGGAAATAAAATTTTAAAACATTAGAATTATTCAATATTGTTTTGTCACAATTTTGTTAGGCTGCAACCAATCTAAAATGTTTAAAAATATTTATAGGCTGAATAAATAGGATGACATAATTTGTAACAGCAAATGATTTAGATTCATTTTAATAAAGTAATTGTAATTTTTTTGCTGTTTCAAAAGCTGGGCGTTAAAATATATTGTCGAGGTTTTGTTCTCTAAATCATGTTAAACATATTGAAATCAAACTCACTAACTGTTGAGCAAAACCTTTGTTACCAATTCTTAGTGGAAACTCGTTCAAATATTCTATTGTTAAGTTTAAGTTTAAGATTAAATAATGTGATTATGTATATTTAAGTCGACTTGTTCTGATTTTAAACACCTTGATAACTTAGTACTTTAACTCTGCACATAAAAAATAATAACATTCAAAAAATATATATTTTAACTTGGCATGAGTTTTAAATATAAGATTAATTAGTTTTTCGGTTAGAAAGATAAGAGAATAAGTAAATGATAGTACTATGACAATATATATATATATATATATATATATATATATATATATATATATATATATATATATATATATATATATATGTATGTATTTTGGTAAAACATTTCAATTTTAATAACTATATCATATCACATATCATATACAAAAACTACACACAAATATATTTGACATAAACTTTATTGAAATACTTTGGAGTTATTAAGTTGAGAGGGGGTTATAACCACAATTGAAATAAAAGGAGCCTCCTCAACTGCAGCACCCTTTATGGCCTTTATGGCCAAAATCAGCTCTTTCTTTCAACTCTGAAATTAGGGAAACATGAAATTGTGATTCATTTTGAAAATTAAATACTGA